GTCACGATCTGTGTTTAGGCAAGTGGTATTTGACAGTATTCAGAAAATCGGACATTGCAATCTGAAAAGTAAGACACTCTCTATCCAAGGTTGCAAAATCATCCTTAGTTATAGGTAAATGAATATAGTGAGGATCATTTCCAGTTAATTGTAGACAACGATGTCGCCCAGGAGTAATTACACGAGATAGCATTTCAGTTGCTGTTGTCGATGTAAAATTTCATCTGCAATTGGGACAGAGGCTACTAACACTTTTACTGGTGTTAACGGTGGATACAAGTCTGCCTCCTGATCTAGATCAATTTGCCCTGTATCAAAAGGATCATCCATCCTTTAATTTTCATCTTTTGTCAACTCAGCAGACAGCCCTGCATTTTCATGAGTAGAATAGGAGTATATTAATTTGAATGACTGAGATTCCTTTCTGACCTTCACATTTTCAGTTCTCTCAGGTTCTTTCGATTCCATGGCAGCATTTTTATCAGAAGGCCCTTGCAAAACTTTTTTTTCAGGCATTAACGTTTTTAAGGTGGTATAGACAACTCGCCATGTTATTAAGATTCCTTCCGGGGTCTCCAGCTGCAAAAGCTGTTTAGTCTGAATTTCCTCGCCCACCTTTTGCCATAAGGCTAAGTTATAAGAACCAGTCTCCAGAAACCATGGACAATGATCCCTTATCCAAACAAGTAACTGTACTAACTCTACCGGAGCGACCTTAAATTGCTGTTGCTGCTATATTCTTTGTAAAGTCTCAGCATGCAGTTTCTGTTTCTTAGTTGCTGACTCATTTTCTATCTGCCATTCAAGGGCATTCTTCAACCGGTCTAAAAAGCTCAAATAAAAGATTCCTGGGAGCCTTGCCGAATAGTCGCAAATAAGGACTCAGATGATTTAGGAGCAGGCACTTGCCAAACTGCCCTTGGTACTATGTCCTTCATCTGATCAAGTCCCACTCTGTCGATTAATACCTGAGCTTGTGGAGTAGCCCAGACTCCTTACCTCATTAATTCTTCCATGCCTATACCCTGCATATTCGCTAAATTATCCATGGTTTTAGCAGTGGCCAAATCTCCATACTACGTCATAAAGACTGTGAATTGCATAGGGGTCATTATCACGCACAGCAACGATTTCCAATCACGAGGAGTCATCATGTACCCATCAGCTATGGCTTGTAATAAATTGATAGTGAAAGCCGATTGCAGCCTGTACTCCTTGGCTGACTTCCTCAATTCTTTAACTGCTTCATAGGGCAATGCATCCCATCGAGGCGGGTGGTTGGGCCGATATATAACAGGGAAAGCGTCCAACATGTCTAAGTCCCCCCGTGAGAGGGCTTCCCGACGGCAGTTATCTAGGATCCTGGGGCGCGATTGTTCCGTTTCCGTCTTGCGACATTTGCAAACCCGTTCACTCTCATTCTTATTGAGGGGGAGAAATCCGGCTCCTGCTCGGGGTCTATGGGGCCAGGATTGAAAGGGTCCTCTCGTTCAGGGGCTGTTGTCATAGCTCCAAGACACAGCAGAGAGGTTGAAGTTCAAAGCGAAGCGTCTGCTTTAGCCTTCTTTCTCAGTTGCTCTAATGAATCTGACACTTGCCACCAGGTTCTTAAGTGCGGCAGAGCCTTCTTGTCAGAGTCAGTAGCTGCCTCCCACAGTCTTCTACCTATATTAGTCCATACAGTTTTATCAAATGTGCCTTGAACTGGAAACCCAGGCACGTTTTTTAGGACCCAATCTAGGAGTGTGACTAGCTCCAAAGTTGATATATTTCGGCACTGTTCTTTTAACAAGCACTGTAGAACATCTAAGTTCATTTGCTGTTTCTTTGTAAGTGAATTGCACATTCTGTTTGTTCCTGACTGCTCACTTTCTGTCCTGCAGGGAGGCGATGGCGTGCGTGTGAGACCTCTTCCCTCTGGTTCAGTCGGGCGATGTTGCCAGAGTGGGGGTTGGTACCCTCCTAGTCGTGCCCCATGTTGGGCACCGTTTGCAGCATATGAAGACATGGACCCGAGCTTGGATCTAAGCTGAATCGTTTATTGAAGCAAATAGTATGACTATATGCTTTCTGAAGAAGGAGAGGCCCCTTCTTTCCCCCAGTAGTGCCCTGTTCCCATGTAAACATAGAATGAAGATAAGAGTCCTTTGCAGCTGGCATCCCAAAGGTTTGAGCCAAGTCGTTAAGTTTTTAATGAGGTGTTTTTTGATCCCAGGACTACTGCAAAGTCTCACACCACCAATTCCTCAGCAGTCAACATGTTTTTCATCTTCCACACATCAGCATCATCATGAGTAGGATGCCTATGCATGTATGATTGAATGTTTTGGGTTGGAAGGGACCTCTGAAGATCATCTAGTCTAACGTCCCTGCTGTGGGCAGGGACACCTTCCACTAGATCAAAGCCCCATCCAACCTGGCCTTGAATACTTCTGGGGATGAGGCATTCACAGCCTCCCTGGGCAACCTATTCCAGTGCCTCACCACACTCATCTTGAACAATTTCTTCCTTATATCTGATCTCAACCTACCCTCTTTCAGTTCAAAATCATTACCCCTTGTCCTGTCACTGCAGGAGCTGGTAAAAAATCCCTCCCTGTCTCTTTCTTACACAAGTTAAGTATTGAAAGGCTGCAATAAGGTCTTCCCAGAGCCTTCTCTTCCCCAAGCTAAACAACCCCAACTGTCTCAGTCTTTCCTCACAGGAGAGGTGGTCCTGCCCCCTGATCACTTTTGTGGCCCTTCTCTGGCCCCACCCCAACAGGTCCATGTCTTTCTTGTGCTGAGGACTCCAGACCTGGACACGGCACTGCAGGTGGGATCTCACCAGTGCAGAGTAGAGGAGTGGAATCACCCCCCTTGACCGGCTGGCCACACGTCTCTTGGTGCAGCCCAGGACACAGTTGGCTTTCTGGGCTTTGAGCACACATTGCTGGCTCATTTCCAGCTTCTCATCCACCAGTACTCCCAAGTCCTCCTCCACAGGGCTGCTCTCAATCCCTTCATCCCCCAGCCTGTATGGATACCATGGGTTGCCCTGACACAAGTGCAGGACCTTGCACTTGGCCTTGTTCAACTTTATGAGGTTCGCATGGGCCCACTCCTCAAGCCTGTGAAGTGTTGTGTTTTCAAACATGCTTAGACAACATGAAAATACTTTCCAAATGCAACTTCAGCACTTTAACTAGTTACTGAGAGTTCTACTTTGGTTTGTGAGTCCTTTTTATTTAAGGGTTCTGCGCTGTAACTGCCTTTCCTGTTGTTTGGTTTTGTTTTGTTTGTTGTTGTTGGTTGTTTGTTTATTTATTATTGTTGTTTGTTTGCTTGTTTATTTTCCTGCAAGCTAGAAGCATCAACAAACCCAGATGAACACTGTGCATGGCAGAGCAGAGATACTGGTTTATAAACATGCATGAAATCTTTTTTGGTCATTCAAGATCTTTGTTGATGCTCTTAGCCATGAGGATAAACAGTTGCATTCACCAGTCTCATTTTTTTACCCTATAAGGTTGGAAGAAGTCGCTCATTTTCAAATGTTCTCAAGCACACAGAGTTTACAAGTGAAACTACCCAACCACAGAGCAAAATGATTCCCTTCCTACCTAGCATGTAAGTGTCCTTTACAAACCAAACTAGATGGTTTCTATTGGCTACCTAAAAATAAACCACTATCATGCAACAAAAGATCACAACATTGAAACAAATGTAATAGATCTAAAAAACTGTTCCCAAGCCTGTAACTACAGGAAGCACAGAGGTAATTTTTTCTACCAGCAAGAAGTGGAAGTTCATAGTTTTAAGATACTTTTGGAGTTTGCTGAAAACCAAAACCACCCCTAATATGATATTAAACAAAATTAGAATGTAGGTGAATATGTCTCATAAACATTTGTGGGATTTTAGCTTCACAAACTACATATACATATATTTTTACCACTCATGTACTTTGAAAGTGGCAAACACTTGAAAACTAAAATCGAGAGGGAAAGCGGTAATGCAGTACTTAGTTACGTCTGTTAAAGAACAGACACAAACCAACAAGAGATTGTGGTTATAAAGAGGTTTCTCACTGTCACACTCTGCAGAAGTATTAGGTTTCTTTTACTTGTGCTGGACTAAACACAGCTTTTATCCCTTGCTGTACCTCTTGACAGATTACTATGGCAAATCCTACATTAACCAAATTCCTACTTAATTTGATTTCCATTTTTCTTATACAGATCTATTACCTACACGTTAGTTTCTAAAACTGAATTCCTGGTATTTGGCTTTAATGCCCCTTTGTAGTAAAAGAATGCTACACAGAATGAAGTTAGCCATTGGTCTCTACACCACAGCAATTTTAGTAGATGTGGACACAATGTAAAATTTATAAAAAATACCCAGACTTCTCTGGGATAAAGAATATTTCAAAATCCTAAACATGTGCATGATAGCACATGTTAAGATGATTAATACAGTTTTTTTTAATTCAGTATATTTTCTGGAGAGACATTCAACATTGAATTATTGTGAAATAAAATTTCACAAATTCTTGTAAAATTAATTGTGAAAAATACCACATTTCTAACCAAGGTGCCTAGTGTATGGTAGGAACAACAAAAGAAAAGCTAGTTTTAGCTGCTGGGGCTTATCTCCCCTGACACATTGCATGAATCAATAGCTGTTTTTCAGTTGCTCACATTCCTAAAACCACACAGGCTGTTTTGAAGCAGAATATGTAAAAATGGAAAATAGACAGTTACAGTGCCCAAGATGCAAAATAATGTTAAGAACATTAACTTTACATATAATTCCAGAAATAATGCCAAACAGGGGGGAGTGGGGGGCTAGGTTGGGGGTTGGGGGTGTGAAACAAAAAGTCCAGGAAGTATTTTTCTTCAGGAAGTACTTGATAGATGGAGTGGCTCCGTAAGTAAGAATTCCACCTGATACAGTTCAAAATCCTAAAATGGGATTTCCTAAAACACTGCAATAAACTGAACTAACAGTGAAAAGGATTTGTCTGGAAAAAGTGACTTTATTTGAAAACCACTCAACAACTATTATGAAGAAGTTACTTTCCCCCTCTACATTAACCTATTTACATATACTATATATATATGTATTTATACATTTACAGAGTTATAATTTGAATTGTGCATTACTATAATGAATCCATAGAACCAGGCATTGTACAACAACTTGGTTTAAGGTTTTGCATTTCTTGGATATAATACAGGTTGGTTGTTTGTTTTGTCTGAAATTGTCTAAAAATTAAGCATATGTAAGACATGTTATCTCAGTGCATTGCTAGTTAATTTCCTGTAGACACTGTTATTCACATTAGTAGAGCATGTAGCCCTTCTACTAGTGGTAGACATTGACTGGCCACTGCTGTTACTACTGTTTGGATCAAAAGTCTTTTTACAGTTGAAGAGGCTGAAAAGTTGTCTCTGATACTGAGAAGAAGCGTAGTAGTAAATAAATGGGTCAATGCAACAGCTAACACTGCTGATACAAACACATAGTAGATAGGCAAAGTAGAGATACTCCAAGCTGTTATCATAAGAAAAACTGATATAATGAATTAGTAGGAGGACATTTGTTGGTCCAAAACAAATAACAAAAACAGAAAAAACAGCCACACACAAAAACAAAGCACGTGTCTTCTTATTTTGTTTTGCAACAATGGTCGAAGAACTAAGACATCGAATGATACACACGTAACAGACAGTGGAAATTACAAATGGGACTACAAAAAACACAGAAGAGAAGATGGAGAAGAAGTGGAGATAATAGCCATGAAGTTCATATTCTCTTAACACATCGTGGCAAGTAGTTATATTTAACTTGGGTATTTCCATCGTTTGCTCTCTGATTAAAAAAGGTATAACCCCAGATATTGCTACAAGCCATATGACGAAACAAATCAGCGAGGCACGTGTTAATGTACGCCATCCAAGAGACTGCATGGGATACACCACTGCTAAGAAGCGATCGAAGCTTATGCTTGTCATAAGCATTATTGAACAGTACATATTACAGTAGAAGGCAGCAGTGATGAAACGGCACATTTGAGGTCCAAAAATCCAGTCGTTTCCAGAAAAGTGATAAGCAATCTTAAAAGGAAGCACGCTTACAAACAGGACGTCTGCAAGAGCCAAATTCAGCATGTATATTACGGCTGGCTTTTCAATTTTCATTTTTTTCAGAAACACGAGTATTGCTGTAATATTCAGGGGGAGACTCAGCACAAGCACTAAAGTGTAAACTGAAGGAACAAAACGCGTCAGCCATGGACTGGTGAGGAACTGTGCTGTTTGCACGGACACTGTTCGTTGTTCACGTAGGAAGGATCCAGTCTCATTGGTGGCTCCTGATGCAGCGTCCAAGTCATTTTCAGTATCACCTTCAGCAGGTATAAGGTCATCTTGGTGACTTACAAAAGAGAGTACAAAACTTCTGATCTGTGGTGTGCTGCCATTGTATGGGGAGGCTGAAAAATAAGAAAGTATTAAGATTAATATGCAAATATTTACATGCTATAGGGAAGTGAAAACAGGAAAAAGGAAAGCTAAAATCATACTAGAAACACAAAATAATGTTAATTCCTGGTTCAAAGTGCAGACTGCCCACAGATGTTTGTACATCCCTTTTTATTTTAGCTCCTGTTACAAGGTTGGGTAAAATGTCCTTCTTTGTCTCCTAGCTCTTAGCTTGGAAGCTTTATATGGTAGGTACTCCATCTGTGCTTAAGGACCCAATCTCATCTATGTTCTCTTTGGGCTACTTTAACATAAATAAAACAGTAAATTTGCCACACTTGATCTGTCCTTGCTAGACTCTTCATACAGTTTGTAAGAAGTGAGGTGCTGGGATAAATACTAGTGTTCATTCACAAAATTCCCTTTAGAAGTCTCATCACCAAAATAACAGATCATTAAAGTGCAATTAAAACATGAAGTTACTGAAATATTTCTGTGTGCTCTGGAGACATCTTACTCAACCTTACAGCCCCCATCAAGAGAGATGGCAGAAGTCTGCATGCAGTTTTCAGGGCAGACTTGGATCAACCTTTTGCTTGTATCAGACAGGTAGCCGCAGATGACACTGAAACACTTCCCTAGTTCTACAATGGTACCCCACAGCGTGCACCACTGAGGACAGCATGTGCGCCCTTGGGGCACTTCTGAAACCTGCCAGTAGTGTTCCCTCTCCAGCAGGGTCTTCTGCAAGCATGGTTTGGTGTCTGTGACTGAGAGGAGAAGTGTCAGGACAGTGTATGTCTGCTTTTTGTATGTGGCTGTAATGAGTTAGGAATTTAGCGTTACAAAGTGTTGGATATGTGATAAGCGTTTATTTATGTAAAAAAAAAACACTCCAAACCCCAAACAAACAAAAAAACAAACCCAACCCCCCCCCCCCAAAAAAAAGAACCACCACTACACACACTTAGACATTATTTCAGAAATGTTTTTTGTATGGAGACTTATTTTGGAAGGATGTCGTTTTCAGCTTTGGCTTTATCTAGTTAAGTGTAGGATAATTTAAACATATTATGGGCAGACAGAAGTGAGAGAGTTACTACTTAAGTAATCGTTCATCTATTTAGCTGTGCAACTGATCCTTTGTTGAATCCTAGACAATTAAAGTTAAAATGATGGTGTGTTAGCTTAAATCAGTGAGCTGAACGTACACGGGCATGATTCACCCATCTAAGATGCAACTCATTAGAAGCAATTATTTGTTCTACAGTAATGATTTTTTTTTTTTTTTTTAATGCAGATGAGAACAAAAACATCTGAAGGAAGCAGATGGCAAAGAGAAGAGTGGCTGGAGCTTTAAGCATGCCATTACCTCACTTTGTGCCCAGGCTCTGTAAGAAAGGCCCTGCCCAGCTTGAATTTTGATGAAATTAAGGGGGGGGGGGGGGTGGGGATGGGCAGGATGAGAGGAGTGGTAGGGAAATTCGGGGATTTGTTAAAGATGCTGTGCTGTACGTATCATGCTGTGTCACAGCAGCATTCTGGGGGCAGAGGGGACAAAAGAGGGGAAGTGTTTCACATAACGGTTTTCATATGCAAAATGACTAGATTGCAACCTCTGCAGGCCAGAAAAAAAAGGATGCTGGATGAGAATTTCAGCCTAGGAGCTTGTTGCATAGACTGCGATGGGAAAAATTTAGTGCTTTTACTTAAACACGAATGCACAGAAGTATGTGAGATGTTTGTACAGAAGGGCACTAAACCAATTTATACAAGGGTCTATTCTGCTGTCTGAAAGAAAACACTAGCAAAAGGCAAAACTATAAATCCTTAATCTTTAACCTTACTTTGAAAGTTTAGTCCCAGCAGTTGGATGGCTCAGGGGGTCAGCTCCTAGTTCAGCAGTTCAGGTGCTACACAAGTTATATTTAACATCTCTAACTTCAGCCTGTGGCTGACATCAAATAGGTGATTTCCAGTAGTTAATGATCACTGCAATGGAAGTATGTCATAGCTGACACCACTGGTATTCATCTTCTTGGGGAGGATTGTAATTACACTTGAGTGAAAAAAAAAAAAATCCTTATGCCCAGAGTCTTGTCTCCATGGTAAAGACATCAGTAAAAGTGACGAAAAAATCTAGAACAGTGCCTCTAGTATCTCCAGTACATACAAGTTTTATGAATTCAAGTGTCTGAATGCTGTGAATATATATTTTTTTTCCACTGACATCTCTAAACCAGAACATTTCTGAAACAGAAGACAATGATGGTCCTAGTCCCTCAAGGTCTACATGTCCTTTGTCCTTCTTGGTTTCTCCACTGCTGAACAACAGTGTGGAGAACCAAAAGAAGAGGTGACATGATTTCATGTGAGGAAGGCGTGTTTTTGGGAGACACAAATACAAATGAACTTGATGAGAGTCAGGAACTCTATTGACAAGATAACCTCTGCATGATGTGCTAACTGAGGTGCTTCCAGCAAACTCTTTTCTCATCCCAGTATCCCTGAACTTCTAAGGGCTCTGTCTGCACTGCTTCACCTGAGCTAGCAGTGCTGCAGTGCCTCACTTTTTGAGGTCTATGGAGCAAACCGGCCAGAACCACTCACCTTGAGGTTAAGTCACGTAATGTGGAAACCCTCGGTGGTGACCTGACCCATTTCTCATTAGTGACACCTAACTTAGAATATTATGAAAATATGCTAAAGGCAAAAATTTATGATCGGGCCATTTACCTGTTACTGACTGCTGACCTTTGTCTTAATTATTGCTTTTAGTTACTTGAACATTGCTAATAATTTTAATTATACTCTGAATTCTTGGAGCTAAATTATTTACAAATTTCTTAGATGAAAGGATTTAGAGTCTGCATTACTCCATTATCAAATTTTTTTAAAAGTAGAATCCTATTACAATAATTCAGGACAAAAAAGCCTCATAAATAATTTTAGTTTAGTTAAATTTCTCAGGAATAATATTGTCACTTGGTGAAAACTAAGTGTTTTTTGTATGAGCAAAGACTACCTAAGTTCACAGTTGAACTCAACCTTTATGCTGTTAACAACACCTCCATGCTATGTCCTGTGCGCAGTCCATGTCTCCACCTTGAACTTAGATGACATGAGCTACTAATTGAAAGCCAGCTCTATGGAAAAATGCAGTGAGACCTCAAACTTGCTATTTTTTTTTTTTCCATTTGCTATTTTGATAATATAGAGAGTTGGAATTTAAACTTTCTTGATGAAATTCAGTTTAACTTAATTTAAAAGATTGAGAGCCACATATCAGTTCTTTTCCTTTAAAAAGCTGCTTGTATGTTTGTATGACGCATCATCTGTGTATTATTAGAAAAAACAATAGTGTACTTCCTGCTTTCTGAAACAGAAAGGAAGATAGTTATTGCCCTGACATTCTGTATTCCGTTTGTGTCAGTGTTTTCTTGAAAAAAAAAATGATAAGAGATTTATACACAGAAGGGAAGAGGACGAAATGATCAAAGGTTCAGAAGATCTTAATGAGCCTTGACAATAAACATAAAGGTCAGTAATGGGAAACAGGCATTACCTGTAAGCTGGGATAGTACAGGACAGCCAATACAGTAGCTCGACAGAAAAGATTTTAAAACTACTCTTACATAGCTACAGCTATACTGGAATCTGCAGTACCTGTAAAATATAAATAGGTATGAAAGAACAGGACTAAGAAATTAAGAACAAAGAAAGAGCAGGACAAAGCATTGAGGTTTTATCATTGTGATGTGCAGTCAGGACACTGAACAGTACACGTAGAGTCTTTGCTTCCAATGAGGACTCTGGAAGGCAAAAATTACGTAGAATCAGTACGACACTCAAATTGCCTAAAGTTTTCTTTTACTGCCTGTGGTCTTTGCACTGATTCTCCATCAATGATACAGAGAAATGATGGTGAATTTTCAGTAGGTTTGGGCTTGTTTCATTTTAACAATCTATATTGTGCTGTTTTCCATCAAGTACTACATATTGTTGATCTCACCATCAGCACATGCATAGTCTGCTTTCCCTGAAAGACACTGGGTTGTTTTTTTTTTTTGTTTGTTTGTTTTGTTTGTTTGTTTGTTTTGGGTTTTTTTTTTTTTTTTTTTTTTTTTGTTTGTTTGTTTTTTTTACACAGAGCTATTTTACAATTTCCTTTTATGTCTACTTTAGTATGCAAGGGGCTACTGCATGTACTGTTCTGTGAAAAAAAGTAGAGAGCAAAAACTCATAATGCCTTCAACCAATCTTACAAAGCACTCCTGAGCTCCCCAAAAAAATTTCTGTAGACGCATCAATATGGACATGATGTTACAAATTGGCAATGTTCATGTCCCAAGGGGTATTTTTTTGAGGTGGAAAACTAAAGAATAAGTTCCTACTCAAATCAATTAAATATTTTCCCTGTGTGCTGCTGGACAAGAGTTTTTGGGCATCACTGATGACAGCTGCACCCATACCGCTGGCAGTTAACAAAAAGTCAGTTTCTCTTATCTCCCCTTTGTATAATCCACAGCGATAAGCATCTAGAATCTAAATTACTCAGTGGCCCATACATTAGGTACTCACAGGCAGAATGTGAAGTGCATGCCAGACACGTTTATAAACAAGGTAAGACACAATCTTGTGGGACAGATGGCAATTATTTGTGTTAGTAAAAATAAACACCATATTGTCTTTAAAAAAAAAAAAATCTTCTTCAGCCCACATCTCTGTTTATATAGAACTTGTTACTGTATTACATGACTGATGTAGTAACAGTTTGAACACACTTTTCTAATGTATTCTTTTCTTGCAACCAGGTGTCTGCTCCTTTTTACTTTCCTTTCTCAATCTCTTTCACCACAGATGCTGGCTTCAAACAACGATAACATCTATCTACCTGGATATCAATGTCCCAACACGGAAAAGTCTGGACAGGTTCAGACCTCAGCCAGCCACCTCGGTAGCTCATGATCGGCTAATCTGCAAGTCCCTAGCACCAACCCACTGCCAAACTACTGCTTTTTCACCTGCCCGCAGGACCATCGCAGGTCAGTAACGAGGTATCCGTGGATACTGAAGGATCAAGGGAAAAGCAGGGGAGAAGCCACAGGTGCAAGGGCAGAGCAGATTTGGGGATACAGCAGTGCATGGGTGATGGGAATGAAGTACATTATGGTAGAAACAGGGAATGTTACCTAGGACAGTGGGGAAATTATATTATTACAGTGGGAGAGAGTACAAGGAGAGTAGAAGACATGTTCAGGTAGACAGGCTTTATTAGTTTTACTGTGCATGAAGTAATTTCTTTTGACTTTTTCTTTTCCTAGTGATGTAATACAGTAACTATTTCAAACATTATTTCCTAAGGAAGCAGCAAATAAATAGTACAATTTGGCATGCTCTGTAATGGAGATTATAATTGTAAAGGGCAGGAAAACGAGTTTGAATGTTTCCATAAACTGGAAGAATAGCACTCAACAGTGCAATCTTTTTTCTAGCAGTAACATGTATAGCTTGTCCTTTACAACCCCATCCCAGTGCCCTTTTTTTTTAAAAAAAATAAGGACTTTTTCCTTAGACTTCCAGTACAAACATGATTGTGATCTCTTCATTCCAACTTGTCCTTGTGCCAAAAAGTTGTTTAGCCAAAATTATTTGCCCTCTCTGATACATTCCTCCCAGCATAATTACAAGCACTAGTTCTGCCCCCTTTCAGCCTTCATTTTAGTAGTCAAAGTATTCCATGCTCTGAAATTTCCCCTTAGTTTTTCCTCTAAACAGCTTTTTCTGTATGTAGAGCTTGAACTGAATCTTCCCATCAGCCATTTCGTGGGGCTGTTATTTGTACAGCAGCACTGTGATCACTATGTGATTGAAAGAAATGTTAAACTCAGTTTTACAGAAACAAACAAACCAAAACCAAAAAACAAACGCCACGTTGTTAATCCCTAAATGCATAATCTTGCCTTTTGTACTGTTGTACCTCTACCAGAAACTGGGAGGTTACATGCATGCATGTCTTCTCTTACCTTCCTTTCCTCAGCATCTGCATTGTCAGAGAAGTTCTGAGCTAGGTGGATGCATGGTCTCACCGGTTATGTTGCTATTAGTGCTGTTTCTAATTGAATAACCATGAAGGTCATCTACCTGGGGTGGATATTCTGAACTATTTTGCCTTGACAGATCCTCCAAACTTTGAGCTACCTACAAATTCAGCTGGCCCTCTACTTTCGGAAGTTGTTAACGAACGGCAATGCCAGTTTTTTAAGGCAGTCTGCCAGCACGTCCTGCCAACCTGGTTGCTTCTTTCCATCGTAACCTGCTATTGCCCGGCTGCCTCCTTAGCCATGGGACAAGTGTTTACCGTTCTTCACCATCAGCAACCTCACCGGTGCCACTGCGTCTTTCTCAAATCTAGGTATTCAGATCTGTGACGTCTCCCTTGTTCAAAAGTAGTTCTCAAAAAATACCCGACGCTGCTTTACCCGGGCTAACACTGCGTTTCAGCCCGCCCTCTCGCCTCTGCTTCTGGGAACAAACCTAGACCTGCGTTTCAGGGCGCCGAAGAACCCCCGACCCGCAGCGCCTGTCCCAAGGGGGGAGGCTGACCCGCCTCGTCTCGGTTTCCCGCGGCTCCGGCCCGGCTGCCGGGGCACCGCGCCGGGGACGGGAGCGCTCGGTCCCGGCAGGGCGGGAGGGGGGGGGGTGTCCCTCCCCCGCGGTGCCCCGGCACCCCCCCAGCCGCCCCCCCCGCGGCGGGCAGGGCAGGGCAGGGCAGGGCAGGGCAGGGCAGGGCAGGGCAGGGGGGCGGCGACTCACCGAGGCGGGCGGCGGCGGCGGGCGGCGGGCAGCCGAGGACGGCCAGGGCGCAGAGCAGCGCGGGCAGCGCCCGCGGCCCCATGGCCGCCGCGCCGGGGGACGGGGAGCTCCCTCCGTCCGTCCGTCCGTCCTTCCAGCGCAAGGGGAGGCGAGTGCAGCCGAGGCGCGGCAGCGGGCAGCCGCCGGGAGGCTGGGGCAGAGCCGCCCCGGGGCCGCCGAGGCTTCCTCCGGCGGCAGGGGAGGCGGGGTGCCTTCCTGCTGAGCCCGCCGCCGGGGAGGGGAGGAGAGACGGGCCTCGGCGGCACCGGGAGGGGAGGGGAAAGGAAGGGAGGGGGGAGAGCCTGCCCCCCGCGCAGCGCGACCGGCCAGCCAGCAGGCACCGCGCCGCGGGAACGGCGGCGGAAAGCGCGGTCACCCGGCCGAGAAGGGGGCGGAGGGGTCGTGGGCTCGGGCAGGGCGAGAAGGCAGGAGGTGCCAGGGCAAAGGGTTATTCTCAGGGCGTTATGCGGAGCTAAATTTGCCAGACTTCGTTGGTGCAATCCACATTGCTAATGGCCCACAGGAGCGCAGTTACAAGGCCAGCTGAAGTATCTGCGTTCCTCATAGCTGAAAGAGCGTGCTAATGCAGAAGAGTTCCTTCATACGTACATCTGCACTGTGTAAAGGAGACAACATCAAAGCTTGCTTGTACTGCATGGGTTTAGTAAACTGACTGCTCTGCGAACACCGGACACCCTAGAAGTAATTAATTACCCAGCTTTGCAGCCCTCGTGTCTTTTCTTGCAAGACCCCGGGGAAGTGGTGCCACTCCTGAACTCCAGCAGCAGGTGCCTTGGGCAGCAAAGCTTGTTCTGTCTTTCAGAGCTGCTCACGAATCAAGAGCTAGTTGAACTGAAACCTATACAAAAGCTAGAGAGGACCATAATTTGGTAACTTTGCAGCTATTATTTAGGCTCTTTTATTTGAATATACTTACTGCACTGGTCGTTTGAGTGCTTTGGATTTCTCAGGGCTATAACAGTCAAAAGCTTTACAAGTGGACACGCTTTGGTTTGCTAGGGTGTGCTATCCCATCCTCAACTGTATATCCTTCTGTTTCCAGCAATACAGACAAAGTTTGGGTGGGGAGGGAAGCTCCGTTTTGAACTTGTTCCTGTGTATAAAGCGCCTTTATTACGGCCGAAGCACTGACCTTTGCTCTTAATTGAGAGTGAAAACCATGGAAAATAAACACTCCTGATGACAAGTACTGGTTCCCAGTACGTTCTGCATCTCTGCCGTGTTCTTCCCACAAACCTACTACTTGCTACATTACACCACTGTTAAGGCTGGCTGAAATTTGTGTGGGGCACAAGTTTTACGGCTGGCCAGCCTTTCTACAGCTCTGTCACCCCAAACACACTAGGAAACCCACATAAAACACCTTAATCATGAACTATTCTTAATCTGTTTAGAAAACACCTTAATCAGAGGGAATTTCTTTTCATCTGATTGGGAAGAGAAATTGAGGCTATTTGTCGGCATTCATGTGGTCTCACAACTCTATAAACATAGCAAAAAGTAACACTTAAAACTCGAAACCCAAACCAGAAGTGAACTAAATATCAGGGTTTGTGTGGGGTTTTTTTGTTGTGTTTGTGTTTTTTTTTTTTTTTTTTGTTTTTTTTTTTTTTTTTAATGTGTATTTGAAAATGTTACAATGGACCTCCCTAAAGCATACATTGCCAGTATTTGCATTTCTTAAGTTTCAGGAAGCCTTAACCAGTGGCCCAGTGCTTCAGGGATGAACCAGCCTACAGTTAGTGAAAGATACAAGGGGGGAACTCAGACTGTATCTGCAAGGAGTAACTTAGTTGCGGATATAAGGGACAGAACTGGGGCTATGTCCTTCCATCTTTGTAAATTAAATTACAAGAAACATAGTGAATAAAAAAAGCCCCCATGTTTGTTAAGTTTTCTGTCTGCATAGGGGAACAAAGTTTAATTCAGTTTTTGTATCCTGTAGTTACGCAAGTCAACTTGCTACTTTAGATAAACTGGTATAATGGAGGTGGAGAGTTGATGACTTCTAAAGCTATCAGTTACCATGTTATAATTCTACTTCTTGCACCTTTTTCAGAGCTTTTTTTTTTTGTGTGTTTTTGTTTTGTTCTGTTTTTGGTTGGGGTGTTTTTTTATTTTTTTGGCAGAAGCATGTTACAGAAAAAACTTCATTCCTGTTAAACACACTAGGTCTACCAAAAAAACCTACAACTATCTAGTATGATTGCTGCATTATTACAGTTTGGGGAAAGAGCAATCTTTCTAATACATAGATTACTGTGGTGCATGCCTGGGATGGGTAGTTACTGCTCAAAGCGCATAAGGTTAGAAGCATATCTCCACGGCAAAATCAGTCCTCCAGGAAGAGGGTTGTTTATCTAGTTATGAACTTTTTGGAATCAGATGTAGCTGTCACTCTGAATTTTCTGTTAGAGGGCAGTATGTTGTGTTGCTCCTTTATTTTCTTAAGAGACAGCCAAAGAAGCAGGTTTGCAGATAAACAAAGTGAAACAAAACAAACCTATTGCTTATGATGTTGTTTCTGTCTGCTTAGCCAAGGATGATGATGTCCTGCAATTTTGTGGATAGTTTTGGAGCTTCAGAGCCCCAGCAGAATGGATAAGTTCAAAAATAAACTAAGTTATCTGCCAAGCACTCTCAGTCAACTTTAAATACATACAGTAAAAAAATGCAAACTGTGGGGCTCTAACAGCCTAACCCAATTGGTTATTATAACTTCTTTTTGTGACCACCAGTTAAGGAAGACAAATTTGAGAGATAGGCAAGTCTTTCCTGGGAAGTTATGTTTTCTCCTATGGTGAAAAGTGATGCATAGCCTCTATTCAGCTGCACTGTCTTTTTATTCAGGTTTGGCACCAGCACTGCAAGTCTTTACACAAGACTGTTTCATGAATGAAACTGGTTTCATCAAGTCCTATCTAACTTTGAAGACCCTAAATTGCAGCTTAGAGGAGCCTCTAAAAAGCCTTTCTTCTTTGTTGTGTTTAGTAGCTGTCATCAGCATAAGAAGGCAGTGGGTGGACACAGAATTACTTTGCTCATTTGCATGGTACCTGGTACTACTGTTGATCTTATATTTAGGTGAGAATCACTGTGGTCAATCCTGTTTAGCAGGGTCCCTTGTTTGTTCAGTGACAAGGCCTTAAACTGAACTAGTTAATTAAGAAAAATGCTTCTAGATGAGTTTAAAGAAATTAAATGGAAATTACTCTTTGATGTGCACTAGAAGAACAGGAAGACTAAGAAATGTTTGGAAAAGGTGAGTGCTAGCACACAGACTGTACCCTTCATACGTGTTATTACCTAGACAGCAAATAAGCCTTCCTAAACCGAAAATAACTGAGGGACATGCTGTTCACATTAGAACTAAGCGGTCACTATATGTGTCAAGTGCATTACACAAAACAGCATATCCAAGAGTGACTTACTCCCACAAAAGCTGTGGGGTTTTAGTCTGTCTCACCTGCAGAACTCCAGGCTTTTGACACATTACCTCAAAGGTCTGGTCTTAGGATCAGTATCCCACCTGTGAAAGTTACCTGCTCAGGTAGAATTTGTGGAAAATGTGTAGGGATTAGTAAAATCTGTTACAAATAAAAAGGCAAACAAAAGATTGAGAGTTTAATTCATATTCAAATACAATTCACTTTTCTTGTTTAGAAGTAAAAGTGCTTCTTTCACCTTCCCATCCACCTGTTGTAAGTGAACCATGGTATTAATACTACAGCATTTATGTCATGTTGAAATGGCTCATACATAACTAGCTAGAAGGAGAATGGAAATACAGAGGATCTGTTTATCTTTTAATTATGGATATTAGCTGTTCTAAAGTAGTCAAGTGTTCAAACTTAATGCTGTGCATAAATAAATTTCTCTAGTAAGTGTAATCATTTTTTCAGCTAGTATATCATCACAGGTCAGCATACCAACTAAACTCATAGTTTATATATCTGCCACTGACTTTACACCGTTTTATTCCACCTTCAGAATTGATACTTGTTTAATATTTGCTTTTACAATGCATTCCAGAATGTCTCACTGTCCATCTTCTAGAATTTTTGCCATGAGGAAAGTGACAGAAGGAAATATTTCCCCTTGGTTTATGTATTTATCACATTACCTACTGTACACACTTTTGCTCTGTAGATATAATTGGTAGTTCATCAGCAAAATTATCATCACATTTGGTGGCATAAAGGCCATGAAGTCCTCACTGCTGAGCAACCTTCCCGAAGTGTACTCTGAGGACAATCAAGCTTAATTAAATACAATTTTATAAAAGCACTGAAAAGTTCTTTCACTACCATCTATATTGCTGCTTTAATGATTCTTTTAAATGAAATTTGGGAGCCAAGCCAGTTTAATTAGGTAATGTTTATTTTCCATAGAACAATCTCCAAAGAATATTAAACAAAACCAAGACAAAAAAACCCAAAACAAAACAAAAAACAAAACACAACCAAATCTAAATACTGATTTTATTGCATTTCTTACAAAAAGACAGGCACAATTTACTTATTCAAATACTTTAAAATGAACAACTGCTCACTATGCAGATTTCCCCAATACCACTCCAAAGGCTGTGAAAGTAGAAAATGTCGTTCTACACGAGGCAGTAGTGCATTTAGTAGGAATGAATCACAAAATATATTTTTGTACAATAAGACATTATTGTCACTTCGTAATTGCCTATAAAAATTTTTGAATTGCACAAAAAGTTTGCTTTACAGATGACAACTGCCAGAAAGTAGGCTCAGTATGTAACTAAATATTTGCCCAAACTTTCACTTTGAAACAAATTAGGATTTCTTTTGGTAAATATTTAAAATCTAATAAGAATTGTATTACATATCTGAGGTAATTTTAAAATGTTTTCATAGGAAGAAGTTTATATTTTCAACTAAACTCAATTTCTGCCTACCTTAGAATCCATACAACCACAATAACTGAGTATCCTAAATATTTTGATTTGAAAGTACCAACACTAATGAAATCTGGAATTGTTTAAATTAATATATTTTCTGTTTTTCTGCTTCATTATCAATGCTGAAAAGGCACTGTGTATATTCCTCTGAACATTTGGTGTTTTAGTTTTTGTTTGTTTTTTAAACTATGAAGAGTTGAATGACAAACTTCAAACAAATGTTTAAAAGCAAATAAAATACTGAATAGACTTCCCACTGATGGATGCAGTCTATGACATCTGAAGACATTTATTTCCCATAGAACTTCTTATTCAACAAGAATATGAG